CGTAACCATTATTTTCCGAGCAAAAAATAAAACTTAAAACGTAACCATTATTTTCCGAGCAAAAAATAAAACTTAAAACGTAACCATTATTTTCCGAGCAAAAAATAAAACTTAAAACGTAACCATTATTTTCCGAGCAAAAAATAAAACTTAAAACGTAACCATTATTTTCCGAGCAAAAAATAAAACTTAAAACGTAACCATTATTTTCCGAGCAAAAAATAAAACTTAAAACGTAACCATTATTTTCCGAGCAAAAAATAAAACTTAAAACGTAACCATTATTTTCCGAGCAAAAAATAAAACTTAAAACGTAACCATTATTTTCCGAGCAAAAAATAAAACTTAAAACGTAACCATTATTTTCCGAGCAAAAAATAAAACTTAAAACGTAACCATTATTTTCCGAGCAAAAAATAAAACTTAAAACGTAACCATTATTTTCCGAGCAAAAAATAAAACTTAAAACGTAACCATTATTTTCCGAGCAAAAAATAAAACTTAAAACGTAACCATTATTTTCCGAGCAAAAAATAAAACTTAAAACGTAACCATTATTTTCCGAGCAAAAAATAAAACTTAAAACGTAACGATTATTTTCCGAGCAAAAAATAAAACTTAAAACGTAACGATTATTTTCCGAGCAAAAAATAAAACTTAAAACGTAACCATTATTTTCCGAGCAAAAAATAAAACTTAAAACGTAACCATTATTTTCCGAGCAAAAAATAAAACTTAAAACGTAACCATTATTTTCCGAGCAAAAAATAAAACTTAAAACGTAACCATTATTTTCCGAGCAAAAAATAAAACTTAAAACGTAACCATTATTTTCCGAGCAAAAAATAAAACTTAAAACGTAACCATTATTTTCCGAGCAAAAAATAAAACTTAAAACGTAACCATTATTTTCCGAGCAAAAAATAAAACTTAAAACGTAACCATTATTTTCCGAGCAAAAAATAAAACTTAAAACGTAACCATTATTTTCCGAGCAAAAAATAAAACTTAAAACGTAACCATTATTTTCCGAGCAAAAAATAAAACTTAAAACGTAACCATTATTTTCCGAGCAAAAAATAAAACTTAAAACGTAACCATTATTTTCCGAGCAAAAAATAAAACTTAAAACGTAACCATTATTTTCCGAGCAAAAAATAAAACTTAAAACGTAACCATTATTTTCCGAGCAAAAAATAAAACTTAAAACGTAACCATTATTTTCCGAGCAAAAAATAAAACTTAAAACGTAACCATTATTTTCCGAGCAAAAAATAAAACTTAAAACGTAACCATTATTTTCCGAGCAAAAAATAAAACTTAAAACGTAACCATTATTTTCCGAGCAAAAAATAAAACTTAAAACGTAACCATTATTTTCCGAGCAAAAAATAAAACTTAAAACGTAACGATTATTTTCCGAGCAAAAAATAAAACTTAAAACGTAACGATTATTTTCCGAGCAAAAAATAAAACTTAAAACGTAACCATTATTTTCCGAGCAAAAAATAAAACTTAAAACGTAACCATTATTTTCCGAGCAAAAAATAAAACTTAAAACGTAACCATTATTTTCCGAGCAAAAAATAAAACTTAAAACGTAACCATTATTTTCCGAGCAAAAAATAAAACTTAAAACGTAACCATTATTTTCCGAGCAAAAAATAAAACTTAAAACGTAACCATTATTTTCCGAGCAAAAAATAAAACTTAAAACGTAACCATTATTTTCCGAGCAAAAAATAAAACTTAAAACGTAACCATTATTTTCCGAGCAAAAAATAAAACTTAAAACGTAACCATTATTTTCCGAGCAAAAAATAAAACTTAAAACGTAACCATTATTTTCCGAGCAAAAAATAAAACTTAAAACGTAACCATTATTTTCCGAGCAAAAAATAAAACTTAAAACGTAACCATTATTTTCCGAGCAAAAAATAAAACTTAAAACGTAACCATTATTTTCCGAGCAAAAAATAAAACTTAAAACGTAACCATTATTTTCCGAGCAAAAAATAAAACTTAAAACGTAACCATTATTTTCCGAGCAAAAAATAAAACTTAAAACGTAACCATTATTTTCCGAGCAAAAAATAAAACTTAAAACGTAACCATTATTTTCCGAGCAAAAAATAAAACTTAAAACGTAACCATTATTTTCCGAGCAAAAAATAAAACTTAAAACGTAACCATTATTTTCCGAGCAAAAAATAAAACTTAAAACGTAACGATTATTTTCCGAGCAAAAAATAAAACTTAAAACGTAACGATTATTTTCCGAGCAAAAAATAAAACTTAAAACGTAACCATTATTTTCCGAGCAAAAAATAAAACTTAAAACGTAACCATTATTTTCCGAGCAAAAAATAAAACTTAAAACGTAACCATTATTTTCCGAGCAAAAAATAAAACTTAAAACGTAACCATTATTTTCCGAGCAAAAAATAAAACTTAAAACGTAACCATTATTTTCCGAGCAAAAAATAAAACTTAAAACGTAACCATTATTTTCCGAGCAAAAAATAAAACTTAAAACGTAACCATTATTTTCCGAGCAAAAAATAAAACTTAAAACGTAACCATTATTTTCCGAGCAAAAAATAAAACTTAAAACGTAACCATTATTTTCCGAGCAAAAAATAAAACTTAAAACGTAACCATTATTTTCCGAGCAAAAAATAAAACTTAAAACGTAACCATTATTTTCCGAGCAAAAAATAAAACTTAAAACGTAACCATTATTTTCCGAGCAAAAAATAAAACTTAAAACGTAACCATTATTTTCCGAGCAAAAAATAAAACTTAAAACGTAACCATTATTTTCCGAGCAAAAAATAAAACTTAAAACGTAACCATTATTTTCCGAGCAAAAAATAAAACTTAAAACGTAACCATTATTTTCCGAGCAAAAAATAAAACTTAAAACGTAACCATTATTTTCCGAGCAAAAAATAAAACTTAAAACGTAACCATTATTTTCCGAGCAAAAAATAAAACTTAAAACGTAACCATTATTTTCCGAGCAAAAAATAAAACTTAAAACGTAACGATTATTTTCCGAGCAAAAAATAAAACTTAAAACGTAACGATTATTTTCCGAGCAAAAAATAAAACTTAAAACGTAACGATTATTTTCCGAGCAAAAAATAAAACTTAAAACGTAACGATTATTTTCCGAGCAAAAAATAAAACTTAAAACGTAACGATTATTTTCCGAGCAAAAAATAAAACTTAAAACGTAACGATTATTTTCCGAGCAAAAAATAAAACTTAAAACGTAACGATTATTTTCCGAGCAAAAAATAAAACTTAAAACGTAACGATTATTTTCCGAGCAAAAAATAAAACTTAAAACGTAACGATTATTTTCCGAGCAAAAAATAAAACTTAAAACGTAACGATTATTTTCCGAGCAAAAAATAAAACTTAAAACGTAACGATTATTTTCCGAGCAAAAAATAAAACTTAAAACGTAACGATTATTTTCCGAGCAAAAAATAAAACTTAAAACGTAACGATTATTTTCCGAGCAAAAAATAAAACTTAAAACGTAACCATTATTTTCCGAGCAAAAAATAAAACTTAAAACGTAACCATTATTTTCCGAGCAAAAAATAAAACTTAAAACGTAACCATTATTTTCCGAGCAAAAAATAAAACTTAAAACGTAACCATTATTTTCCGAGCAAAAAATAAAACTTAAAACGTAACCATTATTTTCCGAGCAAAAAATAAAACTCAGTTAATAACGATTAAAAAGTGATTTTTATAATAAAACTTATAACCTTTACGGGCCATGGTTTTCACTTATTTGACGACAAATGCAACTGAATTTGACATAGTGAAAACCAGCCTTAAGTCAAAAATGATGTTTCCCTTCCGTCAGTTTTCATAGAAAATTCAAATAAAACATAATTTGCCTGTAATAAAATACACGTAAAAATAGACATATTAAAAATAAAATAAAAATAATACGAAATACGATTATCTGCTAATTGAACGGCGTTGCCACAAATCGTTAGCAAACAGCCTTAAGGAAATCGCATTAGCAAACAAAATACGGCGTATACTGTCGATGAGTAAATACAATTCGTAAAATAGTTTTTAGCAACGAGATATCTAATTTTTTTTTTCTTGCCAACACCCGGAACATTTCATGTCCCGGTATATGTTGTACCGGGACCGGGACATAACTCTAAAATTCGGGACAGTTCCGCTGAAAACGGGACGGTTGGCAACCGTGGCCGTAAGGTACATTCCTTGCAGGGAAATCTACTAGTTGTGAACTAAAAAGATACCAGTTTATTTTTCAGTCCAACTAGTTCACGTTATATCCCTTTTCAATGTTACCGACTGGTATTTTTAACATGGCGGTGTCATAGGAGATGTCAATTGTCGGCCCCTGCATCAGCACCCTACCAGTTGACGGGATACACTGCCAATTCATCCCCCGTAAAAAGCATAACTATGCAATTTTACTCGCGGCGCTGTAAAGAGACACGAGTTAGAATCTCAAAGGTTATTTAATTTTTTTTTATGTATTTGATTTTTTATTTACTCATGTTTTTGTTGTAATTAAAAAAAAAAAAAAATTTAATTTAATTTTTATATATGTTATAGGTCCCCCGAAATCCCCAGTGAATGCAATGGGGGACAAATTAAAAATCTTTGGTATATAAATAAGTCTCCTGAAGATAACCAGAGTTTTCCGATCGAAAAATATTGATTTTCAAGAACTCTACACCATCTCTACGAAAAGATGTTTTTTCCGCATATAAAATACATGGAAAATTTTAAGCTCTTGTGCGCCCTCTAAATATTTTTTGATTTCAAAATAAAAAATAGTGGTATATTTTTTCGGTAAAGAACAAACGCAAAGGGTGGCGACATTAAAATTCCGACTTTACTTTTTTTTGGACCACCCTAGTATATACATAATAATACAATTTCATTCATTCCTTGCCTTTTAGTCATACAATTTGTTTGTTTAATTTTTTCAGGGTACGAAATTGGGCGCTTAAATTTGGTGTGGATCTTTGGGAGTTCGGACGGCAATTTACAAAAATGAATGAAATAAAAAATGTAAGTAAAACATTCGTATTGAAGTCACAATTATTATTACTACCATTAGCCCAGTGAGCCTGTCACAAGATTTAGTTGTACCCATGGTACAGTTATTACAGGTATTGTCTTCCCAGAGAGTTTTGCTTCGCATCGAAATTCGTGCTCCCTTATATTTATTTTGACGCATTTCAATGTTGATTCTCTTACGGTAAGTTGGCTTCATGATACAAAAAAGAAGGTAGTTTAAATAAACAAAATTTGATGTATAATATAAATTTTTGAAGTTTCATAAATTGTGAGTATTATCAACGATCTTGCCTCTATTGAAACAAAAACTCCATTTATTTATGCCAACGTAATAATATTTCAAATCATTACCAGTGCATTGTATTTTTTTTTACTTACGTGGTTCGCACCTTTTTACAACGCTTTTATCAACTTGCAATGTTGTATGTCCAGACCACCATTTGCTATAAATAAAGCAAAGGTATTTATGGCAAACCTAGTCTAGATATCAACCTCGTCGAAGGTATCATATCAAAGACATACAATTAGAAAACCTCTGGAGATAGATGTCGCCTCGCCAGAAGAAGTTAAAAATATGCACTACATACGCTACAGCGGAAATAGACGAGCCGCCATTTCTTTAAATGAAATTAATTGCTGCTATATGTATGTATGTGCGTATGTAGGCATATACTAAATGTGAGCAAACAACATTTTGCTTGCATAGTGTTCTGTTCTCTTTTCGCTGCAAGTTGAATTAGTTTAGTATCTATTGCAAAATTGTATACAGACAAGACTAAAACGTATAAAATAAATTTAAAAAAAAGGCGTGAGTACTAGGTACTCATGAAATTTGATGTGTATACATATGCGAACGGCAAAGCATAAAAGTACGTTTACATATAACTATAATCTCAATCAAAGCTCGTTAGCTGTCAAATTGGTTGTGCTTGTTATTCACACAACTCGAGGAAAAGTTAAACTTCTTCTCTGTGCCACCGAGGTCACTTTTTTTTTGCAACACATATTAGGCCATTTAAATATATTTTAACTGAATATTTTATTAAAATACCTTTACAAACCTATTTTCCTTACTAGCGTCAATTTTTGTTTACTTTAACATTTGACATTCATATGCCCACATACATACATATGTTACTTTTCATATCAATTTAAGTGTATTACATGCGCTCCACCTTTTTCGTTTTCAATGACAATTATTGTTTATAATGACTTTTGCTAAAATTGCAAAATCAAAAGTTATCAAAACAAATTCCGTGGGACTGGGAAATATTATTTTCTACTTTTTAGTCCATTTATAAAAGCGTTGTATATTAAAAGGTTTTTTTTAATTTTATTTATTTATTAAAAAATACAATTACAATGTATGAGTGAAACTTGTTTATATGGAGGAAAATGGGTAGAACCGTCAAAAAAAAATTATTCAAAATCAACGCGATTTCTGAGCCATATAATATTTACACATTATTATACTAAATTTGAGTGGGCTAGAAAACTGCGTTGAATTCAATCTGATGGAAAAGTTGAAGAGTTTGGTGAAAATTCGTTGAATTTGCTTTAATTTTGTATAAAAATTGAAACGTTGGTTTATATGATTTTGTTTAAAGCATGCTCCATATTCTTATAAGAAAATAACATACAAATTTTAGATTGCAAAATATAGTGAGTATTTAAAAAAGATATGGTGTATCAAGACTTTTGGTGTTAAGCACATACATATGTATGTATAAAATGTAAACTGTTAAAGGAGGCTTCATCGTAATCGTTCTTTTTATTTTATAATAAAAACCACGAACGCATTTTGGTTATTTTTATACCCGAGCGCACTTGTGCACAAGGGTATATTAATTTTGTTCACATAACGGTTGTTTGTAACAGCCAAAACGAATCGAGATAGATATAGACAAATGTATACATAAATGATCAG